GACTCGGGGTTGGACTTGGGGATCGGGTGATGGGTGGTACGGGTATAATTGAGAGGCATGAATTGGGTTATGTGTCCCTCTCTGGAGGCACCCAGCTCAAGCTGTCACCTGAGAACTAATAACAGTGGAATTGGAAACCTTCACTCGGACCTTACATTAATCAGCGGGATCCTAGGGTCGGACCCCGTTACAGTGGCTGGTGTGCGTAAACCCGTAACATCAGAGAGCTGTGATTCAAAGGCGTGTGCGCACGTGCCCAGCGGCTCTTCTGACTTGCATCATGACTGCCAACTCAGGCCATTGCGCCCAACCGCAGTCCTTTTGGCTTTGTACGTAAGCTGGGCAAGGCAAATGTTACTAGGAAGCCTTGCAGAAGCCGAGCGTGATCCCCAAGCAGCTGTGAACATGGTGCCACTCAATTAGAGCAGGAGGCACCTGACACACAGATGCTGTAGCTGATGTGCGGTCTGCTGGGAAACTGTCCAGTGCAAAGCCACTGTGCTCACAGGTTATTAAAACAATTAGCAATTTTCCATATTATCAACTTCAATGACATTGCTCCCAGTTTCCTCAGTGAGGGTCAGATTCTAGCAGAAAGCAAGTGCTTGCTTGGGAGAAGTGCTAGGCAGCAAGAACAAAGTTTGCAGGCTCATACCCACGTGGCAGTCCAAAGGGCACCCATGAAGAGCATGCAAGCATCCCTCCTTCTCTTTCCTATAATACCATTTTTTCTTTTGAGATGGCTCTTGTCACCAAAGGTGCACGCAACCATTAGTAGGCTCAGGCCAGTGATGGTTTATATGCATGATGCACGCCTAGGATTACGGCAATCAGCTCTAAACCGCATCCAAAGAGAGGATGTATAAGCAAGATTCTGCAAGCTTCAGCCAGAAAAAAGAAATTACCCTGTCAGCTCAAGGACAGACACAAGCAATGAGAAGTTTTGAAGACCCCTGAATTGCAAATCACACTCAAAGAAACTTCAGGTGGTTTCTGTTGAAGCACAAAGGTTTTCCTTTGCCTGCTTCCTGAAAACCGGGGGCTAAAATTGAAGATGGTTACCTGGTCAGGGGAGGGGGGGGGGAAGAGAAAAGTTGAACACTTGTATTTACGGGTCTTCATCAGCTTGCCCCATCACCCATCACTAAGTTGCTGCACGTCTGCACATGAATGAACAAGAGCCCACCGGGAAGGCGTGTGGACCTCTAACCACTAACTTGATCACGTTTGGCAAGGCGAAGCTGGCATTAGTGTGCATGCCCTGGATGTCAAGCAAAGGAACACTGGCTCCTGTCTTTAATGGTAGGTGTTACAGAGCACTCTCTGACTGTTCACTGGACTTGCTCACAACTGGACTAAGAAATACATGTATTTACACGCTCAGTGTGAGGAATATTCAGTAGCCACACCGACGACTATACACGGGAAATAACTGCCATACAGACAATAGGCTACGGTGACATTTCCTACAACTAGAGGACAGGAGACAAGTACTTACTTCCCTTCTTGTGGTGACCGGAATGTGCTTCATTTTCAGGGGCAGGACATGGGGGGAGACTGACCGAAAGACCTGCCGAGGTGCAGCCATTGGCCTCAGAGAAACTCAGCACAAACAGCTAAGAAAAAATACTTGAGTTCATTTGTGTGTAGCGCGAGTCGGCCAACCGGTAGCCAAAGATGGAGAATAAACACACACGTATTTACGAAAGCGCAGGACACAAGAAGTGAGAATGCAACCCCGGCCCGAGTCTGTGATCAAACCCCGAGAGCGCTGTAAGATCCACCCCCGTGCAGGCTCCCAGGAGCACATGCAGGAGCCGTATGGAATTTTACATAGGTATGGTTATTTTTTTCCTTTTTTTCTTTTTTCTTAAATAAATAAACTTTTCTGTGCTTCTCAAACTTCCCTGACTTTACTGCTGTCATGCTTCTGTCCCAAAACACATTAAAACCACAGCGAGCTATCGGGTCATTTTCACACATCTTCATTGCAGGGATGGGAATCACAGTCAAGCTCTGGATAGGGTTTCTTACCGTTTAACGAATTTAAAAATGAAGACAATTAACCAATCTTTTAAAACCTTGGAATGAAAGTGTTTGAAACCTATTTACCTATGCCTTTTGCAACAGAAACAGCCTATTTCTAATACTTCCAAAAATATATATAACTAATTGCTTAATCTGAGGATAGCAGTCAGAAAACCCGAGATGGTTGCAGAGATTTTATAGTATTCATCTCTTTCCTTTCTGCAAGGTCAATGCTCTTGTCAGTCCTAACATACTACGTGAGCCTGTAAATAATGTACAAGGCTTGCCCCTCTCAGGACTGTTTTCTGGGTTTTTTGTTGTTTTTTTTTAAAATATATTAATATGCCTCTTCCACATTTCCTACCAGAGTTGGGAGGATACAAACGCAGCTGCCATCTTTCCGTATCTAGTGACTGAGCATTTAGTGCCAGAGCCTGTCTCAAGCACAGCGCCACGGAGATGCTAGAGGTGCTTTCCCTGCACGTCAGGCAGTCTCAGCTGGGCAGTTACAGTCCATCTTGAAAACAGCCACTGGCAGAGATTATTTCTGTTGAATCCTGTCTGCCTCCCAGGAATTTTTTTTAGAAGAAAAATCTCTAGATTTGCCGATGCAAAGAAAAATAAATATAGCATTTAATAAAATAAAAAGTAAGGCCTCTTATTACAGCAGTTGTCTTTAAAAAGCCAGTGCCAACAATATTCGGTATGCTGAGGCATACGCTGATCAATTAAAAAAAAAAAAAGATGCTACCATTTGATTTTCCTATTTTTCATATCCGTTATCTTCTGGGAAGTTGTGGTGGTAGTTTTTTTTTTGAAGTAGAGATGCTGAAATACTTATGGGTAAAGAAAATAAATAGGAAAAAACCCAATCAAATAGTGTAGTCTGTCAACGTAAGTATTTATATTGTATGTCCCGCAAACACGTGCCATAAAAAAGTGCTTTCCTTTTAAAGGACGGCTGTCTGTTCCTTTGTGGGTAGGAAAAAATAAAAGCTATACTGGAAACAGAAACTGTTACTTGTTTCTTCACTTCTTACATGGAATACAAACATGTTTCATTCAGACGAATGCTTTACAAATTGAGGGCAGCCCATCTCGAGCCCGAATTCTTCTCTTTCTCAAGAAAGTCTCTCCCCCAGATATACAGCTTGAGCTGACAGAGAAAAATGGGACCTCACAAAAGAAACAGAATCTTTTGTTATTTGGGCATCTGAAAATCAGACCTGTTGCGCTCCCCAGGAAATCAGGAAAGGTTAATTCATACTTAGCTGTGGTAACTCAATGAGCACTGCCTCCGTCTGTTGCCTCAGCCAAAGACACTGGGAAGGACAGAGCGAGCGAGGGTAGGTTAGTTGCCAGTACTAGTCACAGTTGCAACACGACGACTGTAACTAAGAAGCCAAAGCCAAAACGAGCTAATGGCCTAATTCAAGAACAGCTCAAGCATCCTTCATTCCTACCGGCAAAACATGAAGGTGGTTAGTACCTTAAAGGCTACTTAGCCCTTTGCAGGACCAGGCCTAAACATGAAGATCTACAGCAGAAAGCTGTTTTACTCTTTTTTTTTTTTTTTTTTTTTTGCACTCACTGGGTGGGTGTTGCTTCAATTGCTGTTTTGAAGGTCGTTGATTAGTTGTACTACTAAATACAGCAACAAATACTCCATGCAAATGCTTTTTCTGAGTGAAGCCACATTGCGTCTTTCTTTCAGAAATGAATAAATAAAACACAAATTGCATACTTAAACTATTCTGCTCCCTTACAAATCAGTTGACTAGTCAAGCACAAGCCCCAGTCACGTCCAGGATTCCCTCTCTCGCAGCAACTCAGAGCTACATTCAGCAGTGCTTGCTGTATGCAGGACAGCAGAAAGCGGGCTGGCTTGACGCCTCTCAATACTGCTGCAATCCACTCTGCATTTCACACGTTTGCTCTCGCTCAGCGCAGAACTCCAGGTTTTAACGCGCTTTCTTCCAGAGCTGCCTGCTGCACTGGCTCATGCATATCTGAACTGCGGAAGTCGTCACTCACTCCTGTCGGCCTCAGTTTCCATGGCAGAACTGGCGTGCCCAAAAGGACACTCAGCCGCACACGAGCCTGCCGAGCAGCCCGGCTCCCTCCCCCTCTGCCGAGAGTGGCGCAGACGCTACTAACCTTTCCCAGGAGCTGTAAGACGACCGGGAGAGTAGGCATCCTCAGAAGTGACACCACCACTCAGCTCTGCTTTGCCCTTCTCTACTCCTGCACAGACTCAAGGTGGCTAATCCCACCAGCCTGCGCATTTCACAGCATGGCTACGATTCACCTCGGGAGCAGCCCACTGCCACTTTGACTCTGATACGGGTTGATTAGGCCGGTCCCAGGAAGAGGCAAGCACCCAGTGCTGGTCCACTGCCGCCTGCCACCACAAGCGCCTTCTTCCAGCCTGGGTCTGCGGATGCTGAGGCTGCTCTGTGCTCTGCAAGGGGTCTGCTGGGGCTCAGCACCAGGCAAGGCTGGGCCCGCTCTCACCTCACGTATCTCTTACAGTTTTGCATCAGACGAGCCCTTTCTGAGCACACTGTCTGATCTTTCTGCTGTTTCATTTTAGTAAGACTCTCATCCAGGCAAACATTACAATTAGTGATACAAATCAAGTTGTCAAGAACCAAAACACTATATATTCACAGCTGAAAGCCTGTATCTCAACAGGATGTTTTGTCCGCCCCACTCTTGATTCCTTTTTGCTTGTAAATGCAATTTCACTTTCTTCCTCATCTAGAGGTACACATGACTGGGCAAATACCAGCAAGTGGGCTGTATTCAAAAGGCAGTGCAGTCTGGAGTTTACGAACGAGGGAGACCTTTCTCCAATTCCAAACCATACCAAAAAAACCATAAAAGGGACTTTCCGTCTTTAAGAAACAACTGACAATTTAAAAGTGAATGTACAGCTTATTCACAGGGTGAGCAGGAAGGGAATCTTCCAACTGAATTTGCTTTACCTTAGAAACGGCTGAGGCAGCAAAGCATTTTCGGTCATTACCTCTCTGTCTTAAGCCCTGTTTCATCTTAAAAATAAATTAAGGAGCCAGAAAGCAGGAAGAAGACAAATGACAATTTTTTACTCCTTGAGGGACTGGGTTGGTCTCCCTCCTACCACCATGACTGTGACTGTTGGTTTGTTCATCCATCCATCTGTCCTGCAGCACAAGAGTTGAGGTTTTATAGAGTTTTTGTTCTCAGTTCTGCTCTGAGCTGGCATGGGAGAAAGCCGGCCTGAAGCGCTAGCGGCTGCTGTTCTTAATCGCTTCCTTTGCTGCAATGATCAGAGGAGTCAGGCTGGAGAGAGGCTTGGCTAATTTTAAAAATGGATGCTGCCCAAAAGAAAAAAAAAAAAAAAAAAGAACCATTACTTTCCAAACTCAGTTACTCACAGGCTCAAGCAGCATTCCTCTGGTTACCAAGAATACGCAGAAATAGGACCGAGGGGACCATCTGCACCTGCGTCATGTCCAGTACCTTCCTATCGCAGGCAAACATGGCCTGTAATCCTATTAATCCATTTATCAAGGTGTCTTCAGCTCGCTGGGATTTTTGCCCTGCCAGCGCTCTGGGAATGCTGCTTGCTGTCCCAGGGCCTTGTTCCTTTCAGGAAACTCGAAATACTTACTTAGGTTCCTGTTTTCTAAAGACACGGGCTATTTTAGTTGTCAAAAAAGATGAGGGGCATAAGCCATTCCTCAGGGAACTCCAATACCTCTAGGAAATGTTTATCCCAGTAGTATTTAGGCCCATGTGTTCTTCTGAAGGCCACTGAGGTACAGGTTTTCAGCACCAAGACAAGAGCAGGGAGACAAGTGACAGAGCGCTGATGGACTCAGCTCTGGGTTGCAGTGGGAGCAGTGTCTACCATCCCATCCCCTGCCCCTCCAGTGCTGGCTGGCACCTTCAAAGCAGGGACAGTCAAAGTGGCACATGCTGCAACTCCCTATCTGCCACAAAACCTGGCAGTAAACCTGTAGCTGTTCTTATCTACTCGACGGTGCCAGGCAGCAAATGGAGCTGTGAGAAGTCCCGCTCAGTCGTCCCTGTTTCGGTGGCAGAAACCTCTAAGAGTGGGGCAGGATGGACAAGCTGGGGCCCCTCTGATGCTCACAGTGAGCACCCCACAGCCCCTTCCTTCCCACAGCCGAATCTCTGACCACTTGGCTGTGACTGATTTCATTGGGTTCCTCCCCAGTCATATCTCTGTGTCATTCCACTTCAGTTATTTTGCCACCGTCTAAAACTGAATATACTACCAAAATACAAAATAGGGCCACGAAAATGATCAGGGGATGGAACACCTCTCCTGTGAGGAAAGGCTGAGAGAGTTGGGGTTGTTCAGCCTGGAGAGGAGAAGGCTTCGGGGAGACCTTATTGCAGCCTTCCAGTACTTAAAGGGGGCTTACAAGAAAGATGGGCACAGACTTTTTAGCAGGGCCTGTAGTGATAGGACAAGGGGGAATGGCTTTAAACTAAAGGGGGGTAGATTTAGACTAGATCTAAGGAAGAAATGTTTTACGCTGAGGGTGGTGAAGCACTGGCACAGGTTGCCCAGAGAGGTGGTGGATGCCCCATCCCTGGAAACATTCAAGGCCAGGCTGGACGGGGCTCTGAGCAACCTGATCTAGTTGAAAATGTCCCTGCCCATGGCAGGGGGGTTGGACTAGATGACCTTTAGAGGGCCCTTCCAACCCAAACCATTCTATGATTCTACTTATTTTTCATTTGAAAAGCACCAAGACTGGAGACTAATACGAGGGGGTTCCATCTGACGCCTTCGAGTTTAGCTGATGAGAAAACCGTTACATAGTACGGCTGTTTCACTTGCAGCCGCTTCACATTTTACCTGCAAAAGTTCCTTGGCAGACCCTCGCCTGTCCACGTCCATCTCCAGGCAGCAGTTCAAAAAGTCGCGAAACACAGCGGACAGTCGCTCAGGGTTCTGCAGCTCTGGTGTCCCGTTCGTAGCGATCAGATACAGCGCCTAGAGAAAAAGGAAACATGAGACTCCACCTGTTTCTTTTATATCCATAACTGCTCATATAGACCCCATTTTTTAATGTCCAGTCTCCAGTGGCAGTTTCTTCCCTGGCAGAGGGTTAGAGATAATTTTTCTGTACCAACAAAAAAACCCTCTGATGCAGCCACAGCTATTCCAACATCAAAATGATCTTGCCTTGACAGCTGATTTCATTGGCTGACCTAGTTAGTATGAACTACGTCAGGAAAAGCACGTTTTGCTTTTCCAAGTATTGACAGCAGCTTTACAGGCTATTTTAAAGAGTGAATTTGGTCTATCTATATTGTTTCAAAGGATTGTTACACAAAATGCATCTCTGCAGTGCTGACTGGTCCCTAAAGTACAGCTTCCATAAAACAAAGGTAGTCAAGTTTTTTTGCTCTGTTCTTGATAAAAATGGTAACCGGATGAAAAAAAGTAAATCCATCAGCTTATTCCTTGGATAAAGAAACAGAAACATTTGGAACCTCATTTTCAACACAGACACGTAAGTTGCATGCACGAATGTATTACGAAGAAAATGCGTAATTGGGCAGACAGGAGCCACCTGCAACTGTCTTTCAGCAGTCTCCAAATTCCAGATCAGCTTCGCTTACGTGGTAAAAGAAATAATAGTCTAATCAGAAAAATGAGTAATTCCATCCCTGTGGTAACCCTGTGCTAATTTTGATACTCAAGTAAATACATTAATGACGCCCCTATCCCAGAAATTGCCAGGGAAGAAATGGGAGGTTTTGGCAGTTGGGTTATTGAATGCTCAGACTTGGTGACATGGAGAAAGTGGCTTGGACTATGAAAGAAGTATGTTCACTAAGTATTTCAGCAAAAATGGACAAGAAGCAGAATAGACTGTGTTGCCTTTAAACGATAATGTTCATGTCTCAAGCATGCTTCCCAGTGAGAGGAATGGGGGATTAGTTCATCTCTCAGAACCACTGTTTTAGAAAAGTTTATTTGTTTGGTTTTTTGGTTTTTTGGGTTTTTTTTAGGAAAGATAACATTGCATCTATTACACTTGTTTCATATTTTCAGGGTCATCTTCACAGACAGAAGAGCTGGAACAACTTAAAACCCAAAGCAAAGCGTTAGCTGAGAATTGGGAGTATTCATCTGTGTTAAGGGTTGAGTCCTCTGTGAATTCCCTTCCATGATGTGCATCAACGCCCAGCTGCTCAGCTGAACGCAGTCATTCTGTGCACACAGGCCTATCCAAACACTTGAAAATTCCAGCCTTTCTCCTCCTCAGTAGCATCTAGCCTAAGCTAAGCTTAAGTTTCTTAAGCAAAGCCAAGGACGCTCACTTCCACGCAGCTGACAGTGTTCATGCGGCTTAGCAAGTCTTCCTGGTATTCCTCGGGCCAAGGAATTATAACGTAATTTTGCAAAACACAGGGTGAGCATTATCCAGTGTGGTTCACTTGTAACCAAGGTCTAACATGCTGAGACGCTAGAGAGATGCATTCGTTCTGCTTTTGCAAGATGTTATTTAGAAACATAAGACAAACATTATGAAATATTCAAACTTAAACTTGCAGAATATGTCTAAAATATACAGTAATAATAATAGAAATAGGCCTAAGAGTCTTCCATAAAAATGTCTGCCATGATAATAACAGCTCTGCGCTACTGGCATTTAAACAGACCGTGACCAAATTGACTTTGTTATTATCCTCTTAAATACAGAGGAAAATTTCCAAGCCTAAAAAGGCAAATGAACTATCCTAGAGTAAAAACAATAAAAGGAAGTTTCTTTACTTTTCCCACAACGTAAGTGTCACAAAATCAGTCTTATCCTGTCCATCTGCAGCTGACCTCAGCCACCAGACACAGTGGTGAGCTGGAGTGCCTGTCCTCACTATGTTTAAATTGTGCTACCCGAGGGATGTTAATTCTCCTGCGGTAAAGGAATACAGCACCGATGTCAACCTTGGAAGTTTTATTCCAGCTCCGTTCACCTGGCTGTGGAACAGGACTGCCAGGACAAATGGAACTCTTTTAGTTGCTCGTTTCTTCACGGAACGTGAATCATGAGGAAGAGTCATCTTTAGCTAGGAACTGCACCTTTTAAATATTTCTACAACAGAAAAAGGTCTATGGGAGGCTGAAGTACCTTCTTATCATGTATCTTTTGGTTTCGTGTTACACAGCTGGCAAAGAAAAACAAGTACAGTACAAAGGAAATGAGTGTTTGCAGTAGCTGCAAAGGGGCAATAAGCTCATTAAATTTGTTTAATATACCAAGAAACAAGAAAGGATTCGGCATACAATTATAGCTGCAGTCTGTGCAAACGATATCCTAAAGTTATCCAGGCCACCCAGATACAAGACAGAACAGCATACAGATGATTTAGAAGCCTGAAACTGTAGAAGATCCACAGCATTTGGAAAATATGCTACAGTTTTGAAGAAAATTGATGTGCTGTGGTTAATAAATGAAAAAGCAAAGAGAAATGCTTAAGGTTTGGTTTGTTTTTTGTTTGTTTTTTTTTTTCTTTTTAATTTGAAACTGGGGAGGTCCAACCTGCATTTCAAAGGATATTTATCACACCAATGTTTGTCCCTCAGGCACTAGGCATAATGCCTGATGGAAGGAAATCACAGCGAGAGAAAGCAAATACCATCACAGAAACATCCAGGACGCTCATGGCTGGAAAACGGTTCATTCCTGTGAGTTCTGCATAGGCTGGAAAGAACCTGAGCAACATGGGATGCTTTTGCTCTACGTGTGGAAAACAACAAATGCATCTACATTAAGACTGCTGTTAACTCTATGATTAATGATCCTTTAATGCCCTTATAATTTATTTATGTATTTAAATTAGTGTCAGTAACTGAAGCGCCTGCGTGCCTTCTGTTATTAAAACAATCATTCATAAAAATGAAAGAGCATCCTTTTGTTTCCAGGCTTTGCAGAACGCCCTGAATGTGGTCTCAATGTGACTATTAAACCCAACAACTACTGTGTGCCACCAGCTAAAAAACTTTGCTGTAAAAACAGGTCTTGCTTATAAGCTCTCCGGTTTGGATGCAGCTGAGACCTCTCCCTGAAGTCTCTGATTCCACACACAACAGCAGATGGATCCTGCCCCTATTGGGGTTGATTTACCTTAATAAAACTAGCTGATAACCGGGGAACTTCAGGCGGTCCATCACAAGCTGTTCACTGTTCCTAGCTCAGGGGCAACAAGCTCTGCAAAAGAGCCCAGGAAGCTAGTACGGATGGTACCAACTTCAGATGCCTGATTTTAATCTACTGCCATTTTACTCAGACACCTGAAGATGCCTTCGAGCTCTAAGTGTTCAAGTTGATCTTAACTCCAGCAGGAGATGAGGCATGTATGGAGAAAAAGAGCATCTCAAATAAGCTGGGTACAGGCAGGAATAGCTGAATGTGATTTTAGTCAGAGATAAGAAATCCAGTGATCTTTCTAACAGTTGACCTGAGGCTTCTCGAGGAGCCCTAATCAACATTTGAGGTTAAGGAAGCAGGGAATTTTCAGCATCCAGACCACTAATGCTAATTCTCTTCATCTGTTTTTGCTGCCTTACACAAGGCAAATGCATTTTTTGCAAGGGTCTTCTATGGAAGCGAGTGGAATATGGGGTCCTCTCTTTGCAGGGAACTGAAGCAAAACCGGTGACGTGCAAAAGTCTCTGCTGGTAAAACTGGGCTGCAGTGACGCAGGCCTACTGCCACCCTGCCAGCTATGGTACACTCTGCTTATTCACCATCGGTCTGAATCCAAACCTGTTTCTGCTTTATCCCCCCTCACGAGGTGGCACAGCGCACACCACTCCACATGCGTGCACTGGAACCAAAAAACCCCAGGGCACCTACCAAACCAAAAGTAGTCTTCCAAGAAAACTCAGGAAACTTTTTTCAAAAAGAGCGGAAGACTGAAATTTGTATAATTGTTGTACTCCTTTCTTAAGCAGCACGGCTGGGGGCATTTCCTGACCATTCCGTTGTTTCTTCTGTCAGTCTGCAGTACGCAGCCTGGGTGCCACAGACCAGAGAGAGTGCAGCCTTACTGCTGTGAGAAAAGCTAAAGGTCATGCTCTATTTTAATTCTAGCCTTAACAAAAATTATGTATGTATACACATTGGTCAAAATTAGTTTCCTCATAAATTCCCGTGTCCTGTCAGGAACTAGATATGCAGCATTTAACTTTGTTTCAGCTATCAGTCATGAGGTTTTATCTTGGTATACATTCCTCCACTATTACATGCTCATTTGGTATAAGAAGTGGTCATTACATTTTAAGGAATTGGGATAAAACTGAAAACTTCGAAACAATAAAAATACATTAGTTTACTACAAGAATTTGTGCTAAAACATACTTTTAGAAATGTATTTGGTAATAAGTAATTACGGCATTACTATAACCAGTGACACTTCCTGAAAGGCTCAGGTAAGCAATCGGCACTGATCCGAGTTCGAAAAGACTTCTCTGCCTGCAGGTACAGTTGAAATGCTTTTCATAAAAATTCCCCAATTGGAGAAACTTGCTGCTGAAAAATTCTTGTCATTCAGAGATACAGAACTCAAAGAGAGTTCCAAAACCGCACGAGAAATTTCAAGCATCGTTGAAGGCAAAAATGGCACATTTCTGAACTGGCTACATGTCACTTCTCTTTTGAGGTTCTCCCATTGACGTAACCAAAGCTACAGTATATGCTGATACGACGTTTTCAGAAGTGGGCCTTGGTGGAACTAGTTCAAGCTGATGTGACTGGGATTTTGTCTCATGGGAGACAAAACATGGGACAGATTAGAAAGACATGCACCTTACCCTGAGAGGATTTTCATTAAGGTAAGGAGGTTCTCCTTCCACCATTTCTATTGCCATGATCCCCAGTGACCAGATGTCCACTTTGGGGCCGTATGCTTTTCTTGTCACCACTTCTGGTGCCATCCAGTAAGGAGTCCCGACCATTGTGCTCCGTTTACTCTGCTCGGGGGTGATCTGAGCACAGAAGCCAAAATCAGCTGAGGAGAAAAACAAGTATTGTTAAAGCCAGCTTTAATTATGAAACCGAGCAAAAGAAATCCCTACTACATGCCTGAGAAGGCGTTGTTGAATTTATCTGGAAAAGTGGCCATGCTCTGTTTACTCGGTGCTGTAGCCAAGGAAATATTGAACTGGCCACGTAAAAAAACCCCTCAAGTTTCATGCAGTGGCTTTTATCCACTTGAAGCTTTCGATTGTAACTCCCTCCCTCTGGAAGGGACATACACAAACCAAAGTCACTCTTTACTTTACCCACCTTTTTCCTTTCTATACCTCTCTGCACATTGGAATTGTGCTCTTAGCTTGCAGCAGTGGTCAGTGCACTACCACAGGCAATCACTTTGGGGTAACTGGCAGTCAGTCAAAAGCAGCCCCACACCACATCCTGGGAACGCTGCGCCTGACCAAGAATACCTACTCAATTTGACAGATCCGTCCATTCCGAGAAGAATATTGTCGCTTTTGATGTCTCTGTGAATCACTTGGTTTGAATGAAGGAAATCCAGTGCTTGCAGGCACTGATAGGTAAAAAAGAAACATGAGGGTAAAAGTTAATGACTTGATTTCATCACACAAGAAAGGAAATGGCTCTAAAAGATTTAATTTCTAGATGAATTGTGAGTAATGGCAGAACATTGTGCTGTCAAGAGGAATAGCTTGCTGCTTCAACACTATTAGAGTAATAACTTTCTAAATGAAGGCATATTAGCTTTTGAAACAGAAACGTCAATTATTGTTACCGACTATCCCCTGAAAGCACAGACAGAATGACTGCTGCTGCAATGAATGTGCTATCTCCATCCATATGACAAACTACTGTTTGCCAAAAAAGAAAAAGTCCTTTCCTTCGGTATGAAGTGGATCACTTTCGGGTGGGAGGTTGCATGACAAAGATTTTATTGTTAGGCTCTACAGCAGATTTGGAAATAGCATGTTAGTCATTTTTCAGAAGCAAACACCATTTTGGGTGGAATGCTACCCTTTTTAAGCTGAGGACTTGTGATAAATGAGTCTCTATTTTTCTTTGCTGTTATTTTAAAATTCTGCCACCAGCATGTTTGCTTTTACAGGCAAGGAATGCAGTACAGACATGCTCCAGGCAAATGTTGAAAGAGGCAAAGTTGAGAATAGTAAAACTAAAAAAAAAAAAAAAAAAAAAAAAAAGATCGTACAATAACAGTATATAAGAATATAACAACAGAGTATAATAAGTGCAGTGATACTGGCAGGCAGTTCACTGAAGATGCTCGCTCTTCTCCATATTATCAAAGCAACACAGAAACAAAGCTTTGAACATGAAATCACTCACGTTCTTACCACCCGTTTAGATGTACCATCCTGTCCAAGTAATCAGAAGCACACGTGGGATCCCTTACCTCCCTACAGACAGCTGCTATCTGTCCTTCATCCATACATGTCTCTGTAACAACATCGGTTAAAGAGCCTCCAGCCAAGTATTCCATAACCACCCAGAGTTCATCACCGACTAGGTAGCTGAACGAAGAAAACAACGGCATTGAGATGAATGTGCATAGCTAAATTACCTCATGAAAAAGACTACAGTTGATTTTTGTTTCCAGGCCATTTTTAAATGAAGACAGAATAAAATGAACAGACACTCCTTCTAGCCTATACAGTACTTAGAATCTGTGCAGGCTAAATGAGAAAGGTACGTAAGCGAAAAATTAGACGTCTTAGATAGCAAGCAAGTGAAAAATGCAGTTTAGTAACGGCAAAGATAAATCTTGAACCAGGACATATCACATCATCTGGTTCATCATCTTAACACATAAATTCCACGATTAACTCCAGGAAAAGGCAACACAACTTTCATAGTCATCCACGGTAGGAGGGTGTGTACCACTGAGGACAGAAATTGGTCAACAGTTTGGAAAACCTTACATAAAATACATTCAGAAACAAGAAAAACAATTTAAAAACTGGCAACTTACATCTTTCTGGAAACAAGAACCTAGTCTTCCTGGCATCCACAGCAATGGAAAATAGTGGGAACAGCCCAAGGGAAATAATTTCTATGATTTATCAGCACTTATCATAAGACACAGAAGATACGATCAAC